CCCAGCTGCGCTCGTGGGCGGTGGGGGGGGATCCGTGCGCGGATGGGTGGATGGGCGTGGTGAGCTGCACAAAGGACGAGTTCAACGAGACAAGAGTCTCTGCACTGTAAGGGGTGTGCTCTTAGCGAGTTTTTTATTAGAATCCTCAAAAACACCCTGCAAATTCTGTGTGTTGATGGGTCGGTTGGCATGGTGAGCTGCACGCAGGGCGAGTTAAAGAGAGACAAGATTCTCTACTCTGTAAGGGATGTACACTTAGCGAGTCAATGCACTGTATAAAATGTGCTCTTAGCGTGTCACTGCACTGCAAAAAGGAATGTGCTTTTAAAGTCACTGTATCACTGTCTCACTGTATCACTGTCTCAAAGGACAGGGTACCCGTCCTCACTTCAGCTGCTAGAGTCCGAAACCCGCATGCATTGAGGTGGTTTTTGAGGCGCCTAAAAAACCGTCTCGAAGGACACGGTACCGACTTCAGTTGCTACAGGCTGAAACCGCATCTCGCTCCTCCTCGCCCTCCTTGTCCATTTCTTCCCCTCCCATCCCATCATTCTCCATTCCAATCCTTCTCATCCCATCACATCCCATCCCATCCCATCCCATCCCATCTCATCCCATCCTAAACCCTCTCCTCTCCATCCCCTCTCCCACTCTTCCGCTCTCTTCGCTCTCCCTCCCCTGCCATTCCCTCCCCACCCTCCTCGCACGCAGCATGCTTCCAGGGATGGGACTCGAAGGCTCGCTCTTACCCGACCTGGGAAGACTTTCCTTCCTTACCTTCCTGTACGCCCGTTCTCCCACACCCCTTTCCTTCGTTCCCTCCCTCCCACACTCCATTGTGTTGCATCTACGCCCTCTGTCACATACGTATCTGCATGTACACCCTCCCTCCCACAAATTTCTGCACGCCTCCCTCCTTCCCTCCCTCCCGCACCTTTCCTTTGTGCCCTGCCCTCTCACCCACTTTCCTTTATCTCCTCTCACAAACGATTTTCTTTCGCCCAGCATTTAAATTGTGCGCTTTCCTGTACTCCTATCACTTATCAGACACCTTATTGCACTATACAAATTCTGCAATAGCATCCTATCAATCTCATTATCCTTATCCTGTCTGTGCCGTTATCCTCGTTATTATCTGTTCCATAACCCCAGGGACCTGATGAACAACAATGATATCAGAGGCTCCCTTCCCATCGCTCTCTCTTCACTCTCGCAGCTCCAAGTGCTGTAAGTATATCACTTCACTCTAACCGCCTGCAAGCCATGCTCTCCCCTCGCCGCTCCTCTTAACACCTCTCTCCCCCTCTCTACCCTCCCCTTACCCCAAAGCACCAGCCTGCGCAACTGCTCCCTATCAGGCCGCATCCCTGCAGTGTTCGGTGCTCTCCCTGTGCTGCAAATGCTTCTGCTCGATTCCAACCGCCTGGAAGCCAGACCAGGCCCTTCATTCCCATTTCCTCTTCCCCCAAACCAGCAGCTTGCGCAAGTGCTCTCTCTATCTGGCCGCATCCCATCTGTGTTTGTTGCTCTCTCCGCGTTGCAAATCCTGCTGCTCGACTCCAACCGCCTGCATGCCAAGCCCTCTCTCTCAAGCGGTCCGTGTATTAGATCCAAGCAAGTACAGACATGCATGAGGATATAAACACATGCATTTCAGCTTCCAACCCCCCCATATCCTACTCTCTCTCTCAAATGGTCCTTTGTATTAATTCAGCGGGGGTACAAGCATACGGTTTGATTTGTGGTTCCCTTTAGACCCTCTGCCCCATTGGCCCATCCCTCTGACCCTCCTCCCCCCTCAGTGACCCTCTACCCCTCCAGTGTGTGGAGGATGTCCCCCAGGTGCAGCGGCCATGGGTCTGCTGCCATCTGGGGGTGCGCCGCCTCGATCCCTGCCCTGGCCTTGGTGTGCAGGGCATTCGCTTGAGAGCGCTGGAGGGCCACTGACCAGCGCTGGCTGAAGTGGCAGGCCATTTTCTTGGCGGTTTTCGCCAAGGGATTGGCCCTGAAGCGGTTCCTAGCTGCTGCTGTGGCCAGCAGCTTCAGGAACGCCGTTGTGGGGGGTGCGTTTGCCCCATAGGTCTCAACAGCTAGGGCGCAGAACACCACGTGTTCTGTGTGCCTGTAGTAGTCTCGTTCCTTCCTTTTCTGAGCCTCCCTTGCAGCCCATCCAGGGGGTTTGCGGGCTGCTGGGTCACGGTTCTGTAGCACGGGGTCAGTGATGGTCGTGTCCGTGATCCATGTCTCACCACTGTCTGGGTCGCGTACAATCACATCTGCCTTCTTCGGGTCATCCGGTGGTGAGTACATCGCGTTCTCCAGGTATACCACCAGCTGTGCCTCCCTCGCCATTTTAGCCAGCTCTCTCTCTCTCTCTCTCTCTCTCCCTTGTCTCCCCCCAAAGCAGAAGTATGCGCAACTGCTCCCTAACTGGCCGCATCCCTGCAGTGTATGGTGCTCTCACCGCACTGCAAGTCCTCCTTCTAGACTCCAACCGCCTGCAGGGGCCGCTGCTAGGGGAGGAGTCCAGGGGGATGCTGAACCTGCAGCACGTTGATCTGTCGGATAACGAATTGGAGGGAGGTGTCTCATTCTTCCCTCGCCTGACATCACTCAAGCACTTGTGAGTGTGGGGAGGGAAGAACGGCTGAGAGCAAACCAGCGGGCTGTTGAACCTGCAGCACGTTGATCTGTCGGATAACGAGTTGGAAGGAGGTGTCTCGTTCTTCCCTCGACTTACATCGCTCAAGCACCTGTGAGTGTGTTCAGGGGTGGGAAGGGGGGGAAACACTGATCTCAGCTGGGCCCTGGAAGGGCCGCTGCTGCTAGGGGAGGAGTCCAGAGGGCTGATCAACCTGCAGCACGTTGATCTGTCGGATAACGAGTTGGAGGGAGGTGTCTCGTTCTTCCCTCGCCTGACATCACTCAAGCACTTGTGAGTGTGGGGAGGATGGGCAGGGGGGAACCGCTGACTTGGCTCTCAGCTGTGCCTGCAAGGGCCGCTGCTAGGGAGGAATCCAAAAGGAGCTGCAAGTGCTGCTGCTAGGGAGGAATCCAAAAGGAGCTGCAAGTGCTGCTGCTCGACTCCAACCTCCTGCAAGGGCCGCTGCTGGGGGAGGAATCCAGAGGGCTGATCAACCTGCAACATGTTGATCTGTCGGATAACGAACTGGAGGGAGGTGTCTCGTTTTTCCCACGACTTACGTCGCTCAAGCACCTGTGAGTGCGTCAGTAGGAGGAAAAGGAGTGACTAAGGAAGAAGATGGGGGATGGGAAGGAGGAAGCATTAGGGTTTTGGCTAAGCCTGAGGCACATTGGCACACACATGGACACACTACTCCCCCCCTCGTCTCATGCACACACCAATTTGTGTCGAGATGGGGATGGGAAGGGGGGATCATTACGGCCTTGACTAAGTGTGAGGCACATTGACACACACATGCCCACTGCACACACCACTCTCCCCCTCGACGTGACTTTTGAGTCGAATTTTGAACAGAGCTTGCTGCTATCTACAAGCCTTGTTTTGACAGATAAGCCGAGGCACTTTGACACACACATGCACACACCACTCTCCCCCTCGTCTCTCTCCCTCCCCCCCCCCCTTCTCTAATGCACCCGTGCACGCTGCTTGGTTGGAACCGGTTTTCCCTTCTGCCAGGTGGTGATTTTGAGTCTAATAAGAACTCTCTCCCTCCCAATGCGCCCCTACAGGCTGCTTGGTTGGAACCGGTTTTCTCTTCTGCCCGGAAAGCTAGGCTTTCTTCCCAACCTCCGCACGCTGTATGTACTGTACTCTGTTTCCTGTGGGCTGTATTGTGTAGGGTGTAGCATGTTGCCGGTAGCGTGTTGCTTGTAATGTGTGGGTCCCTTGTGCTGCTGGGAGAACTGGTTGCTCTCACCGACTCAATATACGCACCCTGAATGTAACCTGTGGGGTGTTTGTTTGTTTGTTTGCTTTTTTCTTTTATTTTTTTTTCTTTCCATAATCCTGTTGTAATGGCACCTCCTACGTTAATCACAACGTCATTACATCAAATCAAATCGTGACATCATCATGCCTATCCCCTTCCGACTTCACAGAGTGCTGGATTAATGGAGCCCCAGGGTAGAGCCATCTCTTTACGTGGAAGCGACTTTGTTTAGTTAAAAAGTAGAAAGTTGTTGTTTTCCCACAAACCTGCAGACCCTTCCGACCTCAACAGAGTGCTGGATCACAATCGAATCGGCAACACACTTGCTGAGCGCCTCTCCTCCTTTTGAGGCGCCTCAAAAGTCGTCTATGTTCACGCGGTTTTTTTAGGCGCCTCAAAATGAGATCATTACTCATGCCTATCCCCTTCCGACCTCAACAGAGTGCTGGATCACAATCGAATCGGCAACACACTCTCTCAGCACCTTTCCCCACCAACCTGCAGACCCTTATGAGGCGCCTCAAAACACAATCTTATCACACCTGCCTACCTACCCCCTTCCGACCTCAACAGGGTGCTGGATCACAATCGAATCGGCAACACACTTGCTGAGCGCCTCTCCTCCCTCTCCAACCTGCAAACACTGTATGCAAACAGTCTGATTTTTTACACAGACGCCGCAAAGCATGAGCAGTGTATATTTTGTCCGAGTACACGATTGCCAAAACACACACACACACACGCACACACACACACACACACACACGCACACACGCACACGCACACGCACACACGCACACGCACACACACACACACACACACACACACACACACACACACACACACACACACACACACACACACACACACACACACACACGCACGCACGCACACACACAAAGGCGGGTACAATGGGTGCACAGTGCCCTCGTGGGGTGGGCTAGGTGCCATGTTTTTTTCACAATGGATTTACGCACGGTAGCATGCAGGTACCGCGGATGCTCTCATGCTCATAGCTGCATGTGGTTGAAGCCGGGGTTCTAATGGTTACACTTGCGTGTGTGCATGCGGTTACCATGTGCACAGGGTGTTGGACAATAATCCCATCGGAGGGTCCCTCCCTGCTGGGTTCTCGGCTCTCACCAACCTTGTCACCATGTGAGTCTGTGCGGTAAGCTTCTGAGCATGTGGGACGATTCCATTGGCTGTTAACTTTCTTTCACAACTTCTCCTCTCAAACCACTCCCTTGTTCTCCCCACTTCCCCTCTCCCCCCACTGCCTGCTCCACCTTGCCCCCCACCCGTGGCCCCCTCTCCCCCACTCTCCTCTCCGCCTCTTCACCTCTCCCCCTTTCCACCTCTCCCCTTATCCCCCTCTCTCCTTGCTCCCGTTCCTTGGTTGCAGCTCTAGTCGCGCTGCTCATCAACCTCTTCCCACATCTTCTCCCTCTCTCCCTCCCTCGCCCCCTCTCCCCCTCTCCCCCTCTTCCCCTGCCCGCATCTCCCCCTCTCCCACAATCGCCGCATCTCCCCCTCTCCCACAATCCCATCTTTTATCACAACGCCCCCCATCAAACTCTCCCCGCCCCCTCTCCCCCAATCCTCGACCCCTACCCCTCAATCCCCGCCTCCTCTCCCCTTGCTCCTTTCCCCCACCTCGCTTGCAGCTCTATGTCGCGGTGCCAGCTGGGAAACGCCCTTTTCAACACGTCGCTGCTCATCAACCTCCAAAAGATGTGAGCGCCCTTCCCTCCCCCCATCCCACCGTACCTCCGTCCCTCCAAAAGAGTTGTGCAAGACGCCTTGGGAGCTGATGGGTGGGATGGGAGGTGCCTTGGAAACACACATAATCCCCTCTATCCTATCCTATCCTATCCTATCCTATCCTATCCTATCCTATCCTATCCTATCCTATCCTGGCCGGCAGTGATGTGAGTGACAACGAGATCCTGTACAACGTGCAAGACGCCTTGGGAGCTGAGGGGTGGGAGGTGCCTCAAGAGCCTCTCTGCTCTTGCAATCAATCCCTTTCCTGTTGCTTCCACCTCTGGCCGGCAGTGACGTGAGTGACAACGAGATCCTGTACAATGTTCAAGACGCCTTGGGAGCTTCGCTGAGAAATCTGCGCCATGTGTGAGTGCATGTGTGAGTGCATGTGTGAGTACATGTGTGAGTGCATGTGTGAGTACATGTGTGAGTACATGTGCGAGTGCATGTGTGAGTGCATGTGCGAGTGCATGTGCGAGTGCATGTGTGAGTGCATGTGTGAGTGCATGTGCGCTTGTCATTTCACACACGTGCCTGCCACTTGCACATGCCACTTGCACATGCCACTTGCCATGTGTAGGACCAGTTATTTTTTTTGTTCTCTCAGGGTTTTTATGCGGGCCTTCACCCGGGGTAAGCACACCCATCCATGTGTGGTGAGTCTGTATTTGGATCGACTCAAAAACAGACTCATCTTATGCGGGCCTTCAACCTGGGTAAGCACACCCATCCATCCATGCATCCGTTTCTGCATACGCCTGTGGGGGTAGTTTGTTGCGAAGACCATTGATTGTGGTTACCCTACCTGAAGTAACAAGCCAGAGTGTTTCACTCTCTGTGTGTGAGAGCAGATGTCACTGCGTATGCCATGTTCCTACATGCACCAGATGAGCATAACTTCTCAGTCTTTACCACCACTGTTTTGAGGCGCCTCAAAACTGTGTTTCACTGTGTGTGTGAGCAGATGCTACTTACTGCATATGCCATTTTTCTACATGCACCAGATGAGCATAACTTGTTTTTTAGTCGACTCAAAACCAGATGATTATAACTTCTCAGTCTTTACCACTGTATTGCCCTGCCTTATCTAATCTCCCTCCCTGCATCCCCGTTAGTGACTTCTCCAACAACCTGTTTATTGGCTTCTTCCCAGAATCCATGTCCAATCTCCAAGCATTGGCTGTCCTGTAAGTCTGTTACCAGGTAACAACACTTGGTGGTAACAACACTGGAGCATACTGCATGTCAGCATAACACATGAGCATACCACACTTGACCATACCCCACATGACCATACCCCACATGACCGTACCCCACACACAAGAGCATGCCCGTGTTCCTCCTCTCTCCTCTCGATTTTTGAGTCGACTCAAAAATCGACTCACTACACGTGTTCCTCCTCTCTCCTCTCGATTTTTGAGTCGACTCAAAAATCGACTCACTACACGTGTTCCTCCTCTCTCCTCTCGATTTTTGAGTCGACTCAAAAATCGACTCACTACACGTGTTCCTCCTCTCTCCTCTCGATTTTTGAGTCGACTCAAAAATCGACTCACTACACGTGTTCCTCCTCTCTCCTCTCGATTTTTGAGTCGACTCAAAAATCGACTCACTACACGTGTTCCTCCTCTCTCCTCTCGATTTTTGAGTCGACTCAAAAATCGACTCACTACACGTGTTCCTCCTCTCTCCTCTCGATTTTTGAGTCGACTCAAAAATCGACTCACTACACGTGTTCCTCCTCTCTCCTCTCGATTTTTGAGTCGACTCAAAAATCGACTCACTACACGTGTTCCTCCTCTCTCCTCTCGATTTTTGAGTCGACTCAAAAATCGACTCACTACACGTGTTCCTCCTCTCTCCTCTCGATTTTTGAGTCGACTCAAAAATCGACTCACTACACGTGTTCCTCCTCTCTCCTCTCGATTTTTGAGTCGACTCAAAAATCGACTCACTACACGTGTTCCTCCTCTCTCCTCTCGATTTTTGAGTCGACTCAAAAATCGACTCACTACACGTGTTCCTCCTCTCTCCTCTCGATTTTTGAGTCGACTCAAAAATCGACTCACTACACGTGTTCCTCCTCTCTCCTCTCGATTTTTGAGTCGACTCAAAAATCGACTCACTACACGTGTTCCTCCTCTCTCCTCTCGATTTTTGAGTCGACTCAAAAATCGACTCACTACACGTGTTCCTCCTCTCTCCTCTCGATTTTTGAGTCGACTCAAAAATCGACTCACTACACGTGTTCCTCCTCTCTCCTCTCGATTTTTGAGTCGACTCAAAAATCGACTCACTACACGTGTTCCTCCTCTCTCCTCTCGATTTTTGAGTCGACTCAAAAATCGACTCACTACACGTGTTCCTCCTCTCTCCTCTCGATTTTTGAGTCGACTCAAAAATCGACTCACTACACGTGTTCCTCCTCTCTCCTCTCGATTTTTGAGTCGACTCAAAAATCGACTCACTACACGTGTTCCTCCTCTCTCCTCTCGATTTTTGAGTCGACTCAAAAATCGACTCACTACACGTGTTCCTCCTCTCTCCTCTCGATTTTTGAGTCGACTCAAAAATCGACTCACTACACGTGTTCCTCCTCTCTCCTCTCGATTTTTGAGTCGACTCAAAAATCGACTCACTACACGTGTTCCTCCTCTCTCCTCTCGATTTTTGAGTCGACTCAAAAATCGACTCACTACACGTGTTCCTCCTCTCTCCTCTCGATTTTTGAGTCGACTCAAAAATCGACTCACTACACGTGTTCCTCCTCTCTCCTCTCGATTTTTGAGTCGACTCAAAAATCGACTCACTACACGTGTTCCTCCTCTCTCCTCTCGATTTTTGAGTCGACTCAAAAATCGACTCACTACACGTGTTCCTCCTCTCTCCTCTCGATTTTTGAGTCGACTCAAAAATCGACTCACTACACGTGTTCCTCCTCTCTCCTCTCGATTTTTGAGTCGACTCAAAAATCGACTCACTACACGTGTTCCTCCTCTCTCCTCTCGATTTTTGAGTCGACTCAAAAATCGACTCACTACACGTGTTCCTCCTCTCTCCTCTCGATTTTTGAGTCGACTCAAAAATCGACTCACTACACGTGTTCCTCCTCTCTCCTCTCGATTTTTGAGTCGACTCAAAAATCGACTCACTACACGTGTTCCTCCTCTCTCCTCTCGATTTTTGAGTCGACTCAAAAATCGACTCACTACACGTGTTCCTCCTCTCTCCTCTCGATTTTTGAGTCGACTCAAAAATCGACTCACTACACGTGTTCCTCCTCTCTCCTCTCGATTTTTGAGTCGACTCAAAAATCGACTCACTACACGTGTTCCTCCTCTCTCCTCTCGATTTTTGAGTCGACTCAAAAATCGACTCACTACACGTGTTCCTCCTCTCTCCTCTCGATTTTTGAGTCGACTCAAAAATCGACTCACTACACGTGTTCCTCCTCTCTCCTCTCGATTTTTGAGTCGACTCAAAAATCGACTCACTACACGTGTTCCTCCTCTCTCCTCTCGATTTTTGAGTCGACTCAAAAATCGACTCACTACACGTGTTCCTCCTCTCTCCTCTCGATTTTTGAGTCGACTCAAAAATCGACTCACTACACGTGTTCCTCCTCTCTCCTCTCGATTTTTGAGTCGACTCAAAAATCGACTCACTACACGTGTTCCTCCTCTCTCCTCTCGATTTTTGAGTCGACTCAAAAATCGACTCACTACACGTGTTCCTCCTCTCTCCTCTCGATTTTTGAGTCGACTCAAAAATCGACTCACTACACGTGTTCCTCCTCTCTCCTCTCGATTTTTGAGTCGACTCAAAAATCGACTCACTACACGTGTTCCTCCTCTCTCCTCTCGATTTTTGAGTCGACTCAAAAATCGACTCACTACACGTGTTCCTCCTCTCTCCTCTCGATTTTTGAGTCGACTCAAAAATCGACTCACTACACGTGTTCCTCCTCTCTCCTCTCGATTTTTGAGTCGACTCAAAAATCGACTCACTACACGTGTTCCTCCTCTCTCCTCTCGATTTTTGAGTCGACTCAAAAATCGACTCACTACACGTGTTCCTCCTCTCTCCTCTCGATTTTTGAGTCGACTCAAAAATCGACTCACTACACGTGTTCCTCCTCTCTCCTCTCGATTTTTGAGTCGACTCAAAAATCGACTCACTACACGTGTTCCTCCTCTCTCCTCTCGATTTTTGAGTCGACTCAAAAATCGACTCACTACACGTGTTCCTCCTCTCTCCTCTCGATTTTTGAGTCGACTCAAAAATCGACTCACTACACGTGTTCCTCCTCTCTCCTCTCGATTTTTGAGTCGACTCAAAAATCGACTCACTACACGTGTTCCTCCTCTCTCCTCTCGATTTTTGAGTCGACTCAAAAATCGACTCACTACACGTGTTCCTCCTCTCTCCTCTCGATTTTTGAGTCGACTCAAAAATCGACTCACTACACGTGTTCCTCCTCTCTCCTCTCGATTTTTGAGTCGACTCAAAAATCGACTCACTACACGTGTTCCTCCTCTCTCCTCTCGATTTTTGAGTCGACTCAAAAATCGACTCACTACACGTGTTCCTCCTCTCTCCTCTCGATTTTTGAGTCGACTCAAAAATCGACTCACTACACGTGTTCCTCCTCTCTCCTCTCGATTTTTGAGTCGACTCAAAAATCGACTCACTACACGTGTTCCTCCTCTCTCCTCTCGATTTTTGAGTCGACTCAAAAATCGACTCACTACACGTGTTCCTCCTCTCTCCTCTCGATTTTTGAGTCGACTCAAAAATCGACTCACTACACGTGTTCCTCCTCTCTCCTCTCGATTTTTGAGTCGACTCAAAAATCGACTCACTACACGTGTTCCTCCTCTCTCCTCTCGATTTTTGAGTCGACTCAAAAATCGACTCACTACACGTGTTCCTCCTCTCTCCTCTCGATTTTTGAGTCGACTCAAAAATCGACTCACTACACGTGTTCCTCCTCTCTCCTCTCGATTTTTGAGTCGACTCAAAAATCGACTCACTACACGTGTTCCTCCTCTCTCCTCTCGATTTTTGAGTCGACTCAAAAATCGACTCACTACACGTGTTCCTCCTCTCTCCTCTCGATTTTTGAGTCGACTCAAAAATCGACTCACTACACGTGTTCCTCCTCTCTCCTCTCGATTTTTGAGTCGACTCAAAAATCGACTCACTACACGTGTTCCTCCTCTCTCCTCTCGATTTTTGAGTCGACTCAAAAATCGACTCACTACACGTGTTCCTCCTCTCTCCTCTCGATTTTTGAGTCGACTCAAAAATCGACTCACTACACGTGTTCCTCCTCTCTCCTCTCGATTTTTGAGTCGACTCAAAAATCGACTCACTACACGTGTTCCTCCTCTCTCCTCTCGATTTTTGAGTCGACTCAAAAATCGACTCACTACACGTGTTCCTCCTCTCTCCTCTCGATTTTTGAGTCGACTCAAAAATCGACTCACTACACGTGTTCCTCCTCTCTCCTCTCGATTTTTGAGTCGACTCAAAAATCGACTCACTACACGTGTTCCTCCTCTCTCCTCTCGATTTTTGAGTCGACTCAAAAATCGACTCACTACACGTGTTCCTCCTCTCTCCTCTCGATTTTTGAGTCGACTCAAAAATCGACTCACTACACGTGTTCCTCCTCTCTCCTCTCGATTTTTGAGTCGACTCAAAAATCGACTCACTACACGTGTTCCTCCTCTCTCCTCTCGATTTTTGAGTCGACTCAAAAATCGACTCACTACACGTGTTCCTCCTCTCTCCTCTCGATTTTTGAGTCGACTCAAAAATCGACTCACTACACGTGTTCCTCCTCTCTCCTCTCGATTTTTGAGTCGACTCAAAAATCGACTCACTACACGTGTTCCTCCTCTCTCCTCTCGATTTTTGAGTCGACTCAAAAATCGACTCACTACACGTGTTCCTCCTCTCTCCTCTCGATTTTTGAGTCGACTCAAAAATCGACTCACTACACGTGTTCCTCCTCTCTCCTCTCGATTTTTGAGTCGACTCAAAAATCGACTCACTACACGTGTTCCTCCTCTCTCCTCTCGATTTTTGAGTCGACTCAAAAATCGACTCACTACACGTGTTCCTCCTCTCTCCTCTCGATTTTTGAGTCGACTCAAAAATCGACTCACTACACGTGTTCCTC